AATTAATACATTCAGTACTTAAAGTTTTAGCGCTTAAAATTCAGTACTTAAAATTTTCAGTGTTTAATTTTTAATTTTATCAAACAGCATCTTAGACATTTATATTTTAATTGAGGCTCTATTATTTTATTTTATTTTTAAAGTGAAGAACTTCTATTATGTTTATTTTAAGAAAAATGATTCTTTTATCGAATAGTTACACTGGATGGTTAGATTTATTTTTATTTTTTTAATTAATTAATTATATAATAAATAAGAAAGTGGAGTAATCCCACTCGACTCCGACCACGATCATACCTGACACCCAATCAAAGTTCTCCGAGCACACCAGACCCGGGCCCCACTCACACAGTTGGTGAGTGTTGTGGTCGGAGCTTTTATATTTTTCCTAATTTAGGAGGTTAGCAACTTGTTACGCATTAAAAGCACGTGAAATAAAACTTTTTTAAATTCCCAATCACAGTGGGATTAAAGTGGGCCCACTCAATATGAGTGGGGATAACATTTGTGATAAGATGTGATTAGGACAGGTGAATAGCAAGTTAGAGGATATATATATATATATATATATTTTTTTTTTCACACAAGAAATTCATATGCACATTTTATTACAAAGCCCCTTGGTACAAGTTGAGGTGCATTGTGTATTTTTAAGCATATGAAATGTAACATTTTTGCTTGCATCATATATTCCTGTTATGTCAACTTTGTCATGGACCACCCCAGGTATGAAAACACTCTCTCTCTCACACACATCTATGTGAAAGTATCTAGGTAGTAGCCAGTAGGTGCATGCAACCTGTTTTTTCAAGTTTCTTTGAGTAATAATTGAATTTTTGAGTTTGAAATTAAAATTAAAGTAAAGTGCAAAAATAGCCTCTTACTTGTTATGTACATGATGCCCAAATAACCTTTGCTGTTAAAAAAAACTCTTACATTTTTTAAATCGAGCAAATAAAGGTTTTTTGTCAATATAATAACTGAAATACTTAAAATGCTCTTAAGATTAAAAAAAAAAAAAATACTAGTTTCGTAAAATCACTGGTATTTTTTTAAAATTTTAAATAGAAGTTTTGATCAAAATTGACAGATGAGCAATTTTTAGATATTTTCAAATATTAGGAATTTATATGCATATCTTAAATTGCATGGGTATTTTTTTGGATTTTTTTTTATTTATTTTGACACTTTACCCTAAAAAATAATACAGTAATAATTGAAATTTTGAGCCCTCTGCTGTCATCGCGGAAGGTCACTCTCATCTTGAAGGCCCATCCTGACTTCAAGCAATCTTGGCCCCCTCGTTCCTCTAACAAAGCAGCTCATCTTCTCCCCCAATGGGCTCTGAGAAACCTCTCTTCTGATCTTGTGTGGGACTGTTGGCCCATGTGGCTCCTTAAAGCCTTAGATTATGATCTCTCTTTCTCATTGTCACACTAAAAAAAAAAAAAAAAATTGATTAAATGAATTTCACAGGTGGGCTAGTTTCAAGAGGCCCAATTTACAATTTTATGGACTTTCAATAGCACGAAAGTTCAATGTAATGAAAATCATTTTTAAGCAATTTCGACTTCTACCCATTTTTTTTGTTTTTATTGTAAAGTGAATTTTAGAAGTATTTTTATATTTTTAGAGGTGGGCATCTAATTCGATTCGATCCGATCCATACAGAACGAATCGAATCTGATTGATACACCCAAGGATCGGTGACGAATTAAAAAAAAAAAAAATTCGTAATTCACGGATTAAGCCGTTAAAATCTAATCCGATCCGATTCAATCCGCGATATATATATATATATATATATATATATATATATATATATATATATTCAAAGAATGTATTAATTAATTTAATTAGTTAATGATTATTTAAATATATAAATTAATGTTAATAAATTAAAATTTTATTTATTTAACTATGATTAAAAAATAAATAATATTGAACAATTTAGAAAAAAATATCCAATCCAATCCAATCCGTCATTTCATAAATCCCATCAATTATTTGTGTAGTACTTTACATATCATAATAAATATTCATTGGCTTACATAAACTTGTATGTTTATACAATTACACACTTCTATAAAACTAACATTATATATATATATATATATATATTGCGCGCACGCGCACACACATACAATTATACACTTCTATAAAACTAACATTAAATATATATTGCATGCGCACGCACGCACACACGCGCGCATAATATATACGTGTATACATACACACACTTTGCATCAATTAAACTGATTTGGTTTCGTATGTAATAGAGGATTTTCGTATGGGTCAAAGAGAAGAGAAGAGAATTGGAGTAGGGATGGCAACTGTACCTTCCCTCGCCCCCATAACCGTTTAAAAATTTCACCCCCGTCCCCGCCCAAAACAACAAAAACGAGGGTACTTTCTATCCTATCCCTGTAACTGTTTAATATTTTTACTCTCGCGGGTACCCGCCCCGTCCCATTTAAGACCATAATTTATTTATTGTTGAAATAGATTTGTATTTCCCCCCCCCCTATCTTCAATTTTTCACCATTGCAAATTTCCTTTAAATTAAATTCATTTTTAACATTAATATTGTTATATAGGGTACTTAATATATAGTGGGAAATATATATACTAATGAAATATGAGTACTTAAGTAATTTGCCTATTTAAACGGGGCGGGACGGTGCAGGGCGACCTCCCCCGCCCCGCACCAAATGCACACGGGTTTTTATTACATCAAATTATTCCCGCCCAAATAAGCAAAACAGTTCCCCAAAATCATCAAAAATGTTGCGGGGTGGGACGGGTAACTGCGGGAGCGGGTCCAATTACCACCCCTAAATGGGGGAGATGTTGTAGAAAGATAATGTGAGAGAAAAATCAGAGAGATGGGTCGCAACTAGCTAGAGTAAGAAATTATGTGGTTTAAGTAAAATGTCCTGCTTGGGCATTTTGCTTCTTTAATATTTTTATTTTATTTTATTTTTTTATAAGAGTATTTTAGACATTTTAGTCATCAAATTCAGAAAATGTACTTATTTGCTCCATAAAGTGTCTATTGAAGGAGGGTATTTGCACTTTCTGTATTATTGGTGGCTTTTTTGCACTTTATTTATTTATTTATTATTATTATGGTAAATTACACTCAGATCCTTGAGGTCAAGTCATTTTTTAACTAGATTAACATTTTGATTTTGATTTTAAATTTTACTTACATTTAAATTAATGGTTTAATATTTTACTTATACCTCAGATGTTAATTTTTTGTGAGATAAGAGTACTTTTGAAATGTTAAATGATTATATTACCTTTGACCTCCGATTCATTATTTCTATAACCAAACTAGCCCCAAGTACAATCACCACGGCCCGTCCCTCTGTTTTTCCACATGGCCTTCTCTCTCCTCTCCTTTCTTTATCTTCAGACCGTCATCATCCCCCCAGTTCACCCTCCTCAACACCACCCATCATCTTCATTCTCGGTAAATTTAGTTTGAAATAGTTTACATGTAAACTAGATCTAAAATTCATACAAAAGTACCAGAATGAAGCAATTACTAAGTATGATCTTCTGTGTCTATAACAATCTAATTACATCAACCCATTTGTATCAGACCCATTAAATATCCCACTCACTGGTATTGTTCTATTAAAAATTGAGATTGTAGAGAATTTTTCTCTTCTGGAACGACTGTCTATTTGTGCTAGGAGATTATAGAGCTTTCTTGCTCACCACACTTCACCCATTTTCTCTCCAAACAATAGCATACAGACCAACAAAGCAAATAACACCATCCCATGCATGTTGCAGGCAATGTGTTTGGAACCCAATGCAGGGCCAGCCCTGCCTAAGACTCAGCACTTAGACGACCTCAAATTTTGCCCATGAGTAATAGACCCAAAAAAAAAAAAAAACTTACACCCTTTCTATGAGTAATAGGCCCAATTTTTTTTTTTTTTTTTGTCCCTTTAAGCAAATTTACACTCTTGTTAGGACATGCTTGATTTGTAATTCTGTAAACAATCATTAGAAATTCAAAAAATGGAGAACAATTTTTAGAAAAATATAAAAGATTGTTATATGAAAACAACCATTTTTATAATTGAATTTTCAAAAAACTGAACTAAATAGAATTTTTTAATTTCTTAAAAATAAAAAACTGTTTTCATAGTTACAAACCAAACAAAATAAGTATAATCGTACAAGCATCACATTTAAAGTGATCAGCTTCTAAAAGCATTGTTCTACAATTTTCTTTTAAATTTTTGGTTCTTATCATATAATACATGTAAGAAAATAACTATTAAGTTCATACATTTCAATTTCTTTGGCTTTCCAATATATTTTCTTTTTAATGGACGCTCAAGAAAATGTACGTCTAATGCCTTAGCAATCTCAATAAATTCATTGCTTATGGTACTTTTAAGTCATTTGTCACCTCCTATCGCAAAAAGCAAGACCGAGACATTTTTTGTGTTTTATAAATTGTAAAATAGTACTATTCTATAATTTTATAGTAAAATTTTCATCTCATAGAATGCATACAAATAAAATAAATATTTCTTTAATTCTACTTTACTTTCTTTTAATTTCTTTGTTATATATATATTTTTAACTAAATAGAGCATTTAAAAAAAAAAAAATTTGAGACATGTGCTTATATCTCTCTCTTAAGATAACTAATAAAAAGCCAACGTGACGCATTTAGAGGATGTAACGTCCATTCAACATCCTTGTAACACTCAAACCACGGATTTACATGGAATCTTCATATTTAATTTTTAATGTTGTCGTTACTTGTTACATTATTGTATGAATGTGACTGTGTGAATGTAAATACATTAGAAAGGACTAAACTCAAAAAAACTCCTGAATCTCAATAGATCTGGTTGTGGGTACACGTGTCACCTCGACCACAAAAGCACTGAGAGAGGGGACGTTTACGTCATTTTGACTACAAATACAATAACGCACCACCAACTGCAAAAACTTCATTTAAAGCTTCTCAATTCAAAAAAAAAAAAAAAAAAAAATCACAATTTGCGGTTTTACATATATTTCTCGCTCTTCCATTTTTGTGAGTGCTCAGGAGGTGAGGTGAGGTCGTGTTTACTTCTAAAACCCCTTTCCTCCTCTCGGAACTTCTCTCTTTACTTTCTCTCTCTACCATGGCTTCCGATGCCTTCACCGACAAAAATGCCATTTTCAGGAAGCTGAAATCGAAGCCAGAAAACAAGGTTCTTATGTGTTTGAATTGTTTTTTGTTCAATTTCTTCATTTTATCTGTTATTTGTGTGATTCATAGGTTAATTTGGTTGGTGTCCTGGAGATCTTATTCAGATCTGGCATTTCTTATGCAGATCTCGATTTTGATTTGATTTTTTTGTTTTTGTTTTTTGATTCTACTCTCAGATGTGTTTCGATTGCAATGCGAAGAATCCAACTTGGGCGTCTGTTACGTACGGGATCTTCCTCTGTATCGATTGCTCGGCTGTTCATCGCAGTCTCGGTGTTCATGTCAGCTTTGTGAGGTGATTTGAATTGTAATTCAATATTAGCTGAACATTTATGTTGAATTTTTGTTTTTTTTGATAAGCTTTATGTAGAATTTTGTATTCAGTAAGTTGATTTATGTAGAATTTTGTATTCAATAATCTGATTTATCATGCCGGTTTTTATCTATTTTTGTATACATGGCTGTGCTGCTACATATCCACCCCAAAATTTCTTATATATCATTTCTTAGGATTCACACATAATGCTATAATTTTTTTCCTTAGGCCTCATTGTATGGAATAAAAAGGTTCGGTTTTGCGATGTCGGGTCTAGAGTGTGAAAGTTCAAGCTTTCCTTTTGGAAGCAAAATCACCAATATAATGAAGTTCATATTGCGTATGAGAGAAGTGCATAGTCGGAATGATTCGTTTTATTAATAGAAAAATGAAAAGAAAATAAAATTAAGGATCTATTTTGGTAATCATCGGAGACGTGCATTTGGATGGTTTTTCTTTTCTCAGAGGGTCAGTTTTTACTTGTGGGTGAACTCTCATTATCTTTTGGTATCTTAGGTTCTTAAAGGTTTGCCCCTAAGAAGGTTGTAGATGTTACAGGTCTAATCTCTCAATGCATTGCCCATAATTGGTTTATTTCTGTTGATGTTTGTCTGTTGGCGTATGTTGTTGGAGAAGAGTTGAAGCTCGTTTTGAATAGAGTGCACTTTGACGTTTTTGCCACGTAGACTTTATAATCAACGAGGTTCCTATTGAAAGTATTTAAAAATTTCCCTTAGGTCTTATATATTCTAAAATGCTTTTGCGGATATAGTTCATTTGAAGAAGTTTATAGCTTAATTATAATTGATTCTTTTTGATGAGGTTATACTTGATTGTGTTGGTGTCAGTATCCTTTATAGTGTGCTGTTATGTTGTTGGATTCAGTATGCTGCTTTTCCCCTATAGGACAGGAGGTTAGAAATCTGGAGCTGTACTTAATCTTATAAAAGGGATAAAGATTTTGGAGGAAGTGAACAAAAGAGGGAAGAAAATAAGGAGGAAGAAAAAGGAGTTAGAATTAATTTCACCATTATACCTTTACATGCCAATATAATATTGTTGCTTAGAGGAGAAAAACTCTAAGATAATGTTACTTTCTGTACTTCCTGTTACACTTTTGTGCGAAAAAGGAATGGTGGTGGGCCTAGAGCAAAGAAGTCCTCTATTTCCTCTTTTTGTTTTCCTCCTTTTCTTATTGCAAGCGATGGGAACTCCCCGTTTCCTCCGCTTTTTTATTTTTTCCTCCTACTCTGAACCTTAACGAACTTTGCATTACTGATTAAAATTTAAAATTTGATTATTTAGGAATACTCAAAAAGTCATTTCCACATATAACATAATTTTATGAGTAACTACTTAGTAGTGAATGTTTGTTTATTGATTGATGTAATGTGGTTCAGTCATGTTAGAAATGGCCGACAGTGGTATTAGACAGTTTTTTTTTTTTTATCAACATGGGTGCTTCAAGATTACTATTCAGTTAATTCTCTAAAATACGGTTGCTTAAACCAATAGGTGGTTTCCCCCCTTCTCTTAATTAGTGAGCCTTAAGAATCAAATTCTCGACCTACCTTGTTTACGCTATGCCTACTGCATTACACAACTGCTTTGCCTTCTTCTTCTTCCTTTAATGATTAGGATTCTCAAATTGATTCAAGTGTGTCCCCCTATCTGAATGTTTATTTATATATCTATAAAAAAGAAGGGTATTTCACATGTCCAAGTCCAGGATGTATACAACAAGAAACCAGTGACTCACCTAGAAGGAACCACCTCAACCCTACTAATGATCCTGTACCTACACAAACACAAAAAACCAATATCAGCTTCTCGTGAAGCTGAAACCTAAGAGAACCATGATCTCAAAAGGATTGTATTTAAAACTAAAATGGACAGCTTAAAGCCTTCAAAGGTTCCTCAAATTTATTCCTTCTAATAGAACTAATAAAAAGTAAAAACAAAAGGATGCCACCTTTGGACTTTTGTAGAGAGATTTATAAGTCTTAAACTGTGTTCTTGGTCAATCTCAGCCGATGGCATTAAAACCTAACTCGGTTCAATGTTACAAAAAATTATGCAAAACAATGCTATAAATCTACTAAGATATATAAAATGATGGTTATCGGTTCTGCAATTGCTTTGTGCAAGTAGGAATTACACACCATATATTGCATATAGTTGATTCAAACAGCAAATTAGTTTAATAAGGAATTCCCTCTACATACCTGTGAAGGCTTAAGGAAGGATTGGTGGAGCAGTATATTAGAAATTAGATTAATTGGTTATATGGTGGACTAAAAGTTATGTACAGTTTATTAGTTTCTCTGTCTAAATTCTAGAACAATTGCTATGGTGAAAAAGAATGTTTGAGGCTTTATCTATGTAAAAATGTTAGATTATGCTCAGAGACAATCATACAAAGTTTGTAAGTTGCTCGAATTCTAAGAAATCTTTATTTATTATAGTTTCAGGACAATGTACTTTTTTTCCCACTCCCTGTAAGTACAAATTCTATTCAGAGTTGTTATCACATGTAATATCTTTTTTCCTGTATTACTTTGTTTAAGGCGTCAGAGGAAAGCTAATTTCTTGGGCATTCTTTCCTGCTTAGTTCTATCTAGGAAAGTGAGGGACTCAAATGTTGGCCGTTTGTGATCTTCTCATTTACCTGCTGGGAAGTATTAAACTAGATTACTGTTTACAATGAAAGTTGATTTGAATCTTTGTTACTGGATTGATACTGATGCTTGAGACATCTTTCTTTTTACATCCCTTCTAATAATGGTTTCTGCTTCAAACCTCTCTCTCTCTCTCTCTTTTCCCTGTTTGTCATTGCAGGTCTACCAATTTGGACTCATGGACCCCAGAGCAGTTAAAGGTGATGAGCTTTGGGGGAAATAACCGAGCTCAAGTTTTCTTCAAGCAGCATGGATGGACTGATGGAGGCAAGATTGAGGCCAAGTATACCTCAAGAGCTGCTGAATTATATAGGCAACTACTTTCAAAAGAAGTTGCTAAAAGTTCTAAAGAAGAGGCTGGTTTGCCGTCGTCACCAGTTGTATCTCAGTCTGCACAAGCTGCTAATGGATTTCTTGATTTCAAGATCGACGAATTTCCAAAAGAAAGTTCTTCAGGAAAGCATGAAACTTCTGATGCCCCCGCTTCACCTAGAGCTGCACATACAGTTGTCACCACTTCTGTCAAGAAGCCTCTTGGTGCAAAGAAAACAGGAAAGACTGGGGGGCGGGGGCTTGGTGCCCGAAAGCTTACTTCTAAGGTAATTTCTTCTTTTTACACCTCTATGACAAATCGGTTATTTGGAAACATACATATCATGAAATGAATTATAAATTTTTGGAAGTTCTGTTTCTTAAATTTACTATTTGCTGCTTGATTCTTTGTTGTAAATTTAAGTACGTTTCCTTTGCACTAAAAATTTGTTCGATGCAGCCAAGTGAAAGTCTCTATGACCAAAAGCCTGAAGAACCACCTGTACAAGTTTCCACATCCACTAATAACACATCGACAGCTGGTTCATCTTTTACATCACGTTTTGAGTACATAGATAATGTCCAAGCTACTGATGTGAGTTCTGGAGGCACACATATGATTAGCCACGTATCTCCCCCAAAGTCGTCAGGTTTCTTCGCAGACTATGGAATGGAGAGTGGTTTTCCAAAGAAAACAAGCTCCAATTTGTCAAAAGTGCAAGTAAGCTACATGATTTATAATTTTCCTTTTCAGTGTCCGATCAAAACTAGATTAATGGAACTGTACTGATACATACATATCACCAACTTTATATGCATATCTTCTTATAAACTGCAACGCTCTAAACCTAGAAATGGCTAAGCATATTTACACCAGGTATCTAAATTGGTTCATCTGATTGGATGTAAACTTCCTAGGACACGTGGGCTTGGGTTTCTAGCATTAAACACACCCCCCCACCCACCAAACAAAAGATTACTGCAATTGGTTTGTTGAATTTAGCTATGACTTGCTATCTTACTCAATATAACCTGTGTAATGTGCATCATCATGGAACTCTTTGGTTCAAGTTTTTTTTTTAAAAAAGCGCGCACTTATTTTTGCAGAATTTTTTATATTTCTTAACCTTTATTTTCCTTTCCTTTATTATTATTATTTTTTTTCCTTTTGTTTTTTCCTTCCAATTGCTTGTAGTATTTTCATTTATTGACCATTTTCTTGGAGGTTCTAGCGGTTTCTCAGTTTAGGGAGGCAAGGATATCATCATCATCATCATTACTTGTATAAAAAAAAAGGATATCGTCATCATCTTATGATAAATCCAATATTACAGTCATATAATATTTATTTTTTGTATATTAGGAATTTTTTTATATAAAATATACATTTTATTGCTGTATTCATGGTATATTGTTTTTTTTTTTTTTTTTCTTCTCTCTCTAAAGAGTTATTGTGCCAACATATTGGTCGCCTGTGTCTATATTTTTATGCTTTGCGGAAGTCATCCAATATGTCAGGAATTGATGTGGAACTTGAGTTTGGGATTTTCCGATATGTCAGGAATTAATGTCTTCCTTGTTTGCTTGTTTGATATTTATTATTTCCTAAATATGTTTTTGGGAATTTAAGCATCTATGCTTACTGTCATTAAGGGCTATTGTCTACTCTGCTTTCCTAGTGATGATGTTATTTCTCGTAATAGTAAAAGAGACCACTGATACATGTCAACTCAGGGCATTGGCTGTAATTGTTCATGCTTTCGAAAAATTGTCGACAACCTTCTTAAGATTGATTGAGAAGCTTTGAACATTGTCTTCATAACAATATTTTTTGTTCTTTTGATTTCTTCTTGGTATTTTTTTTTTATAATTTCTTTTCCCTCTTTCCCCCCTCTTAGGATATTCTGAATTTATGATAACAAGGTCTATTGTAGTTGTGCTATATCACATATCTCCACAGATTCCGGTTTGATTGTAATCTTGTCATATTGTAGATATCCATTTTGGTTTCAATTCAGTGTTACTAGTCTATTTGGATCTGCAATGCTTGTCTTTCTCTAAGATTTTTTCTTTACTCGCTATCAGATTCAGGAAACTGATGAAGCACGGAAGAAGTTCTCCAACGCAAAATCTATTTCGTCTGCCCAATTTTTTGGTGACCAGAACAATGGTGGGAATGTAGATTCTCAAGTTTCCTTGCAAAAGTTCTCAGTATGTGATCTTACCATTACTTGTTAGAAAATTTAGAATCATATTCATTTTCTTGAATTTCTCAAATTGCATCCCAAAGGGCATTCATAGATGGAATTCTATAATTTGTTGTGCTGCTCTCTCTTCCTGTCTATTCGTGGTAAATTAATGAGATGCAGAATTAGTCAAGTTTTGCATGCAATTTATGTGAAGAATAAAATTGTCACTAAAAAGAAATTTAGTTGATGGTAAGAGAGCATACTTTATTTCTTTTATGTTCAGCTAATGGGTTATATCATTGATACAATGTTTGGTCATACGACTGACAACTTCCAAGAAGTAAAAACTTTTCATGGTTGCAAGATTAGAGGTTATTGAATTGGTTATCTCACGTAAAGTTTAGACATCTTCAAGGTTATATATTTATATTTATACTATGGATCCCTCGAGTTCTTTCCCCCCACTGTAAGTTTTTTACACTTGCAAATGACAGTAATATCCACCTTCAAATTATTTTTGATTGGACAAGAAATGCATGCTATGATGATTAGTTATTTTTTCTGATATGGTCTCTCCTAGTTTTAGCCCAATTTTCTAGATCAACAAATTTATTTTTGTTTGGACAAAAGATACACACTTATTTCCCCCCTGATTTGGGTACCTCTTGATTTTAACCAAATCGCTTATATTTTAAAAAAATAAGTTTGTTGACACCAAATTTTTTTCAATTCCAAAAGGTCTGCTTTTGGAGTTGCCACCTGATTTTAGGTTACTTGGAAACCAAAGAAAATGATTTCATTCGGTCTTTAGGTCACAGTTTTACATTTACCAGAAATTATGACTTCTGGAATTAGGGTACCACTGGGAAGGGACAAGTAGACTTGTTGCACTGCATCCCACCATCATCCTGTAAAGCATGTGGTATAATCCGTTACCAAGTGGTAGTCCTGTCTTTGCAGAGTACCCAGTCCCCTCTCCCTCTTTTCAGGTTGACAATTGATGTGCATCTATAAATGCGATTACAGTTTCTGTACTCAAAAGTCCCCTGCACTACATAGATAAGTTTATTGTTCATAATTGATTTCGAAGTTCACTTATCCAGATATTATTTTTCCTTTTCTTGCTTCCAAGGGTTCGGCTGCCATCTCTAGTGCCGATCTCTTTGGACATGATGCAGATAATTCTACTCTTGATCTCGCTGCAAGTGACCTCATTAACCGACTATCTTTCCAGGTATGCTTTGCAATTTAGCATTTCCCCCTCGTGGAACATTTGAATTGAATCTTGTCCTTGTGATGATTGACGGTCATATTTCAGTCTACTAAAAGATTAGTGTCCTTTTCCTTCTCGGTTTTAGTCTTTTAATCTTTCGTTGTTGCTGTACTGGGGTTGATCTTGAGTTTTATTTTAACTTGTATTATTATTTTCAGGCACAACAGGACATCTCTTCTCTTAAGAATATCGCAGGGGAGACGGGGAAAAAATTAAGTTCCCTTGCGTCCACTTTAATGTCCGATTTTCAGGACAGGGTCCTCTGATATAGTCATGTTACATTCGAAATCATCAGGAATTTGTTACAATAGTAGCCCATATTTTGTCCAGTAATTCATAAAATTCTTTCAGTAGACAAAAATTTTGAACACTCTCTAGGCTTATGACAAGCTGGTATTATTTTATCGTGTAGCTGAGGAATTCTCTGTTAAGATTGGTTTGTTTGTTCTGTATGAAACTTGAAGTGAGGAAGAAGTCGAAATTAGGAAACCTTTGATTGTAAAGTTTTTATTTTATCATTCTGGGTCTTGTGGCCTTATTGGGGTGAAATCATATGGAAGAGCTTACCTGACTTGTGCAATTATAAATCTATTGGTGTGATGAATATACTTTTCAAGAAGTCCAAATATAGGGTTTACCAAACAAGGCCTAAAATAGGTAGTTTTTGGTTCCTAGCTTTGTTTCTACTACTCTGATTTGCAATTTCTGATTCTTGCAAGATATTTGGGTTGAAAACAAAACATGAAGAACAGATACTAAATGGGATTTGCTCAATTAATGTCTCTATGTAAAATACAATAATTCAACGGTTACTTTGTAATTCAATTTTGTTGAAATAATTAAGCAGATTTCTTCTCTCCACTTATGTTGATTTTTAACACAGTGGTAAGAAGGTTAAGATATGCTATTCCACATGAACGTGACCAGAATTGAAGCTATGTTGTGAGTCTTATTTAGTACTTCATTCCTTTTATCTCCTCTCCTCATGGCATGGGGAGTAGATGATGTTTGAAATTTTTAGGGTCTGTTTGGTTAGACGAAAATTTATGATGGAAAGTAAAAGTGAATGAAAGTGAAGTGAAAAAAAGGAAAATCAAGTTTCCTACATGTATTTGGTTAGCAAGAAAATTTTTCAAGAAAGTTGTGGGAAAATATTATTTTATTAGTTCGGATGGCATGAAAGGGAAAAGAAAATGATTTACTTACCAAAATTACTTTCATGATTTCAAATATTGAAAAATAAATTAATTTTGTGTTGGATGAATCATCTTTATACCCAATTATTTATATTAATTTTTAACAATTAAATAGTAAAATAATGGATTAATAATAATAATAATAATTATTTATATTCATATTTAAATTAGACAAACTAAGGAGGATTACATTTTAGTTATCAAATTCTTTTTATTTTCTGTTTTCAATAATAATTATTTATATTTATATGTAGAATATAATTCATTTATCATAACATACTCATGTTTTATCATAAAATAGTGGATTAATAATAATAATAATAATAATTATTATTATTCACATTTAAATTAGAAAAACTAGGAGGACTGCATTTTAGTTGCCAGATTTTTTTATTTTGTGTTTTCAATAATAATTATTTATATTTATATGTATAATATAGTTCATTTATGATAGCACATACTCATATTTTATTGAATTATTAAATATATCTTTTTTTAAGCCCTCTCGAAGAAACATTAAATGCAACTCTAGGATAAAAATTGTCATGCAGAAGTAACATAGTTTATAATTCACGCATAATAATTTTATGGTTCATGCATAATTTATCAGTCCCCTTTCATATTTTTTATGAATGAGCCACTTCTATGTAAATTTTTCTTTGCAAAAATCACACAGTATAAAATTCAATTCAGTTCAAAGCTGTATAGATAGTAAAAAATAAATATTATATGGATTTCCATCCATGTGAAATTTTTATGTCATATAAATAGTATGACGACTCAAATTTATCTCTTCCCATATATATATTGAGATATTGATAAAAATTAAAAGTTATATTATTTAATATTCTACCATTCCACTCTTAATTTATTTCAAAAAATTTTAGGTAACGACGTATTGGATATAATCAAATTATGTGTCCCAATGTATAATAATGGTTGGAATATTTTCTATATTTTCTAAGTGTGAATTTAATAACCAGTGAAAAAAAAAATGGAGAAACAACTGGGCATAATAGGAATTTTGGAAATAAAATGATAATTTGGTGCGAGAAATCCCACTTTCTCAAAAAATTTTCCTTTCCAGGTAACCAAACTCCTAATTTTTTTTTATTTTTTTTTTGTTTTTCATTTATTTTCCTTTCTACCTACTTCACGCTAACCAAACGAACCCTTAGCTGATCCAATTAATCAAATTAATGGCTTCTTTTTGTGTATCATTATGTAGTATAAAAGAAAAAAACCAAGAAAGAAGTCAAACTTGTGCGTTAGGGTATTGTCATTGCCGAGTCTGGGAAACGTATATTTGTATGTTTTTCTTCGTTTACAGCGAGGTTATTTCATTCGGTACTAAGCTTTGACATAAAAAATTAGTTGTTTTTTTTTTTTTTTTTTTTTTTTTTTTTTTTTTTGGGGTTAGAAAAAAAGAAAAAAAGAAAAAAAAAATCGTTTGGCTACTTGCCATAAAGACTAATTTTAAGTCCTCAGATATGGATATTTATTCCATCCAATTCAGAATATACCCTACCTTGTCACACACCAATTTTGCTTTGAGACAAAAGATTAACAAGATAATAAATGTCTTAAGAGATATGAATTAATTGCATAATTCAATTGTGGGTTTGGGATTATCGATCGTACTTAGTTTGCAATTAGAGCATAGTTTATATAAAATTACACACTAGGTTCCTCTTGTTACAATCGAACCCTATTTTGTTTCTTCCTATAACACCAAATATTGCTCTCTCTATAGAAGGACTAAAAGTCCCTGCAACAAATCCCTTGTCTCTCTCTCATCTCTCTGATTAGTTAGGTGTTTAGCACTTAATTAGCTTAACACAAGCTAGAGTCATCTTCTTGTTCAAATGGTTGGTTTCATTACGAAAGAAGATAGTCCCATGGAGATGCCAAGACCCTTCCCAATTGGCAAGAGGTCACTAGCACAAGATCTGATACCGCGAGCGTCGCCAAGTTCATCAGACATTCCCAAAAATGTTGTCATTGTTATGGATGGTTTGAGGGAGTTTTCTATGAAGGCTGTCGAATGGGTTCTCAAGTACATAGCCTTTGACGCTCGTTGCAACATTACTCTCCTTGGTGTTACTCCCTGGCTTAACATGCCACGTAAGTATACACACACACACACACACACACACATATATATATATACATTTGTCGACTCAATAAAATCTTTTCCCAACTATGTGAAGTTCTTGGTGTACATGTGTGTGCATGTGTGACCAAGTCCATATGAGTTGACGATGACTTTTTATGATGGGATTTTGCCTTCACAGCCAATATATATTAAAAAAAAGTAAAACAGAATAGCGATTGATTTCTTTTCAACAGTACTGTCCAAATAGTACCCTAGGAAGTCATGATTATATCGGGATTATTATATTATTAGTGTCATCAATTATTTATATTTTGTCACATAATTAATAAGTGGATCCTATCGATGCATGTTATTGTTTAACTAATGGGTCATACCATACCATATCATCTGTGCTAGCTCTGGGCCGCATTAATTTTTTTTTGGAGGTTTGGAATCATGCATGTTGTTAATTGTGTTGTTTGCAGTCTCGTCCAAGACATGGTCTGATATTTGGACGATGGATATTGAAGATTTGACGGCCATAACAGAGAGAATGGAGTTGAAGAAAGATGTCAAGTATCAAAAAGTTCATCGATTAGTAGACATTTGCAAACGATATGGGGTATTAATTATAAACTATCCAATTAAGCTCTTCAATCTAACAAATTAATTTCTCAATACATGGTGCTGTATGCTTAACAATATCCTACTTATATATATATATATATCATCTCTCGATCCTAATATTTTTTTTTTTTTGTGTATTCTGTAATTAGGTTAAGCTGCAAATGAGATCAGCAATGGGGTACCCTTTACAGCTAGTTGTTTTAGAGAATGTCACAAGCCTTCATGCCACACTAGTAGTGTTTGACAGGTATATATATATATATATATATATATTGCGTAAATGAAATATATTAGGTATATGTATCATGCATAAAAAATATCATCATCGTCATCATATCTTTGTTGTTGTCATGCATGAACCATATAAAATGATTTGGGATATATGTGTTTTGGTGACAGGCATCATAGGAAGTACAGAGAATACTATGCAGAAAGAGTTCCATGCAACATTGTTATGATGAACGATGATGGAAATGTGGACATGATCAGAGGGCGATCACACCTCATCGATAATGGAGATCTAGAGAGCACTCCCGGAGAATCGTCGTCACGGGCACCTACTCCCAAGTTGATAATCTCTGAAGATTGGATGAAAAAAATTCTCAAGCAATGATCGGCGTCGATCTATCGATCAACAAAATAATCTCTCATTAGTCGAGGATCAATATGAAAAGGAAAACCTCTGCGCGCCAAACTCCATTTAGGATGTGTTTCAATGTCCAAATATTTGAATAAAATTCTTTTTTATTTTATGTATGTAGCACTTGGATAATTTAGCCCTCATCTACAATGGGACTATTATATTATCAATCATAAGCACAATATGTATCACACATTAATTAAGTTCTGATTAGTTTGGAATATACAATTTCAAATTATGAGCATTGCAGCACCACTTTCTATAGGAGGCTATACTCTACATGGCATTTTAGGTCCATTAATTTCCTCCAAAGCATGCACCAAGTACACATAGTTAATCATATACATTTTCTAATCCAGTGCACGTTGCATTTGTTGTCAAGAGGATTTGAGAGTGTTAAATGCATGCAGCCTTTTTATATTCGTATGGAATGAAAATGTTATTTTTAATTTTGAAACCGTGACCTCTCTTTCTTGTTATTTTATTTTATTTTTTTTAATTGGTGCTCACATGATCGATCACACCCCTTTCAAAGAATTCTATGTTTGCATCTAATAGGAACCGTGACCTCTTTGTTAGAGTAACCTTACATTCTAGACATTTTTTATACTATATATATATACACACACACATATACGTATATACATCATGCATGCATGTAAGAGCAGCTAGGAGCCATTAGGGTTATGAGCATGCACCAAATCTTAATTTAATTAATCGTTCGAGAACAACATTACAAGTTGATGCCACCCTTTAGCCTGCATCCTTCATAAGTAGTACTTAAAAACATACTCTCAACTTGATTATATCTTATTTTGTTCTTAATAATATAGTAAGAAGGGAGACATCTTTTTAGGACAATGAGGAAGTAAGGATGTATTCTCAAGGGATGTAGCCACCATGACCACCGCCCGCGCCACCGCCGCTACCCCCACCATATCCACCTCCATGTTCACCTCCAGCACCATAACCAACTCCACCGCCAGAGCCACCGCCACCACCTCCACCATATCCACCACCATGCTCCCCTCCTGCACCCCCACCGGCTCCTCCACCACTCCCATACCCGCCACCGCCTGCTCCTCCAGCACCATAACCTCCACCACCGCCTCCACCACTGCCACCTCCTCCACCATATCCGGCACCGTGTTCTCCACCAGCACCATAGCCACCACCACTGCCACCTCCTCCACCATATCCGGCACCGTGTCCTCCACCAGCACCATAGCCACCACCACTGCCACCTCCTTCACCACCGCCATAACCGCCACCATGCGCTCCACCTGCACCATAACCAGCTCCACCGCCACTTCCACCACCACTTCCACCACCACCACCATGTTCCCCTCCAGCGCCGTACCCACCACCACCTCCTGTACCACCCCCACTTCCATATCCAGCACCATGCTCTCCACCAGCACCATAACCAGCTCCACCACCATTGCCGCCACCGCCACCACCACCGTATACTGCACCATGTTCACCACCATATCCGGCACCACCACCACTACCACCTCCACCGCCACTTCCATATCCAGGACCTCCATGTTCTCCTACACCTCCATAACCAGCACCACCACCTGAGCCTCCTCCACCACCATAGCCTCCAGCAGCAACACCTCCACCACCGCCAGCACCACCGCCACCAATGCCATGGCCTTCACCATAGCCAAGACCTCCTTCAAGAGTGAGAAGGGCTCTAGTTGCAGAACATAAGCCTAATCCCAATAACACAAAGAAAGCAATACTAAGAATTTTGTGGGTAGCCATGGAATGTGTTGAAATCCCACAGCAATGGTTTAGAAATGGAAGAGATGGTGGGTATTTATAGGGATTGGAAGGGGGTTACAAAAGCCTCTGAGGACATAGAGTGGTTGAAGCACATGAAAAGAGAAATTGGTAGTCCCCACTTTTTGGTCCAATTCATGGACACACCGCAGTATGCTCTCACTTACACTAGTAGATCATCGACCTACTATTTATAATGTGCTTTTGCTGTCGTCCACATTTGATCATTATATACACACATATATGTTCAGAATTGATCTCTTTCACACTGATAAGCAAGAAATTCTCTAACAAACAAAGTATAGTGACGACTTAGGACGGAATGTGATGTAAAAAATGTTGTTAAAAAATAAAATAGTAATTATATTCAATAATGAGAATTAAACCTCTTCCATATTATTATGCACTTGAAGGGATTGGTTGATAATGGTAATGAAAATTAAGGGTTTTCACTCAAGTTTGGAAACTCATGGAGAACACTGCATCTTGTTGAATTTACATTATAAAATTGTTATAATCAGATTCTTTGTAATTACTATCAAACAATTTATTTTTTTCAGATGGAAGTTTCAAAAAAACAAAAAAAATCAATTATTCCATTTCTTTTGTTATTTAAAATCAATTATAATCAGATTCTTTGAAATTAGCGACAGAAGAAGTTACGTACAATTTGTATAACTTCGATTGTACCATCACTAAAACCATGGTTTTTGTAATCAAAGGATAAGAGTTTGGGGTGAAAAAAGCTAACGAAAATTTGTGTCCAAATTAATAAGTTAAATAACACCAAATTAAAGTGTTCTTCAAAAATATTCTCAAATCCAATCAGACAACAACCGCCAACCAGTGTCATTTTCGGAGTCGGCAGGTCCATTTTCGATAGTCAAATTAAAGGAGCTCTTAAAATGCATTAAAAAAAAAAAAAAAGGGAAATTAAAATGAATGTAGATCTGAATACACTTAACACCCTTCAATGTGGGTTGTTCATTCCTCCATATCTGCATGTGATTTACTCATTAGGGCTAGTATTGGTGAAACTTGTGCTGTCCAGCCAAGCATAGAGTAGTAGTTATTGCTCTAGTAGATAGCTATACATAAGCATATGATCGAGTATATATCGCTCTTATCTACACCTAATACATTTTCAATATCTTTTTCTTTTTTCATTTTTCTTTTCTGTTTTTTTTTTTTTTTTCAATATTTAACTAAAGTAATTTTGAACCAAAATCAAATATACAACTATACAAGGCAGGGCATATTCTAATTCCTAATAGGGGCCTTACAAAAACAGGCCAGAAGCTTAAGGAGCAAGATTGCAATACAAAGCCATCTTTTTACCCAACAATATACATATCTATATATATATACACACACGTACAAAACTAAACAACATTTGTAAAATCTAGTCTCCATTTACAGAGATTGGCATGCATGAGGTGATTTGAGATCAGAATGTGTCTAATGTTCAATATATATATATATATATATATATATATATTAACGTTTTCACTTAGAACAACCAAACCATATCAACCCGAAAGAAAATAAACAAAATGAAATTATAAAAGGTTACAAAATTGGGAAACAATTGTATGAATTGCTAGGTGTAGGTGGTGGACAAAAGATCACATGGTATAGGTATAGGTAGAGCACATTGTGATTCTCTTTCAGAGAGTGGGACCAGTCCATCTCACTTTGCTGGGGATAGTGCCTTCTTTTTTCCACCACGCTATGTTCATAAGTTCATAACCAACTTCTTCTCCAACTACATCATTTCTGACGTCCTCCTCAATTGTACATTGTTTGCATGAATAAGTGTGCGTTCTCTTTTCTGTTATTTATTTAATTATTTTTGTTTCTTTTTTTGTTGTATGTACCTGTTTTTAGCTGATAGCGAATATACCACTAAAATAATACTAAGAATATAGAAGAGTGGATTGAGGGAGAGAAAACCAGTCCAATATGAGAATTGAAGAGGTGGTAGAGAAGAAGTCTAGAGTAATCTCATAGCTGTGAAAATCTTGTTCTCCTTTGCCTTTCCACCTCCTTTTTATAGTCCTTAAGTCATTCAGGTGGTATTTGTTGGACCTCCACCCTTAGATGAGTCGGGGCCCATGTCTCTTTATGGATCATGATGCTCTAATCCCTGTTCCTTTAGTTCTGTTGCCAAGTGTACGCTTTTCCTTGAATGACCTACATGGGGTTAGATGTGAAGGTTTTTGTATTTACTTCAGTCTGTTTTTAGCTCTTATCTTCAAATTGGGTCTTGCCTTAACAAGACTCAGTTAATTTTCTATCCTCCATTTCAAAGTCCCCTTTGCATTCCCCCTGGTCTCGAAGAGTCCTACCATTACTTTTCGCTATTTATTTTATTTGGGAGAATGTGGTTTAGTTGAATCAGGGTTCAAGGCCCGTCGATCAACAGTTTGTGGCTGGGTCAAATCAAGGTTCAAGGTTCGTCGATCAACAGTTTGTGGCTAGGTCGGATCGACGTTCAAGACCCGTCGATCGACAGCTGCTTTTGCTAGATTAGGTTCCCAACATCGACCAAGTGTTTGTCATTTTGTCTTCTTGTTCGAAGCTGGTACTGATGGGGGATCAGCTTGATTTGACTTTCGATGAGCTGCATCCACATTTGTGAACTAGTTGTTTATGTTACATATATCCCATAAAACCGTATCAATGTAACAAGAATTAAACTGTTATTAATTTAATTATATATGCAAACCAAAAGTGGTTTAGGACATATAAGTGACCCTGTAAGGATGTAGAAGGATTTGGATTAGTGTTAAATCGAGAATCAGTTTGACCTAAGTTGGTCTCTGTAATTCAATAGGTCAAATCAGAACCGAACTTGAAAAAATAAAAGTTACAGTGATGGAGACTTGAGAGATCATGGCACGCTTAACATTAGGTATGGTAATGTTGGGCTCAACCCAACTTTGAAATGTACATAGCCTGTTTGCGATTTCTTGAACAAGAACTGGACCAATTTGGCCAGTTACGGTTAGGTCTCTATATTGTTTTGGTTTGGTTTTTATTTTTCTAATAATAATTGAACACCCACGTGTCCTAAGAGACTTGAACCTTCAACCATCCACTTGAAAATATAAACATACGTTGGAATTGTTTGAATTGAATTATTGGCTTGGATCCAATTTTGTCAGAATTGTCGAATAGTTAATCTCAATTTTATAATTAGCATTATGGTTTTTTAACCTCATATGGTGAAATTTTGGGTTTTGGTTCTTATTTTCATGCTATATCCAAATCAGCGTTTACATGGTTTTCCCAAATTTTATAAAAGTTCTCTTTTGAAATTTATATGATAATATTAATTTTTTTAAAAAAATAAATCTCTGGTTTTACAAAATTTTCCACTCTAGATTAAGATCCAGATTGAACAGGCTTTTGTAAGAGGTTTTATATTATGAGCCCACCCCAATACCACCCAGCACTTGGGCCCATAAAATATTCAACTTTTGTTTGGTTTGCAAATTTGGGTAAATGGAAATGGAAAAGGAAAAATGGTTTTCTTTAGATTCGTGTCATTTGTGCCCGCGCGCGTGTGAGAGAGAGAGACACACACATATATATATACTTTACCTGCATATTTTTGGGCTTCCAGGCCCCATTTTTACCTGAATGAGTCCAGGATGTGGCCCAAATGTGTGTGTGTGTTTGTGTGTTTTTTTTTTTTTAAATTTCTCTTAAAGGTTTGAGTTTGGGTGGCTCTGATGGAATTAAGATGTGGAAGGACCAAAACATATATGGGCCTTTTATTTTTTAAAATTGTAGGTGGAGAGAGCTTATTTAAAATTGAGTCATTTATATAAAGGTGATAATAACTTCTTAAACCACATACTTAACTTTATTGTGCTTGAAGGGAATAGATTAGAAGTAAAAAAAAATGTGATCAAAATCAACAATGAAATGACCTATGAGAGAGCTCTCTAACTTTAGTTGCTTTGATGGTACAATGATATGTATCATTAAAATCCCAAGAAATTAAATAAACAAACATCTCCTACAAAAGCAAGGTCTCCTCAATTTTCATAAGAGTAGTGCTACGCAATCTCAAATCATTCTCTGACTAAATTAGTCAAAATATCTAAAAGTCATGCAACCTAACGGCAGTTGTCATGCAATAGAAAGTGATTTTGATAGAAAAATCATTGGTTGTCACTTAAGTGAGTTTGTCATTTCGTCCCTAAAAAATCAATCAATTTGACATTTTCCTTTTGAAAAAGTAGCATACAAGTGCGCATTTTCTACCCATCCAATTACTTTATAATTAAGTTTATTTTATAGAAATAAAAAGTAGTAATGCATAATTTTATAAATTATAAACAAATAAAATATTTTTATACCCTCTTGCATGTTTTCATTCTTATCTTTCACATTTTCTAATCCTTTTTGATTCTCATTTAAACCTTTTGTGTACACTCTACCATTTCGAATTATTATATTTTATATGGGGTGATAGCTACTTGTTAAACCACAAACTTAGCTTTATTGTGTTCGAGGTGGGTTAATCTTAGGGAATAGATTAGGCTTTTGGGAATAGATTAGGCTTTTTAGGTAAAAAAAATGTGATCAAAATAAAAAATGACCTACTAGAGCTCTCTAACTTTAATTGCTTTGGTGGTAGTACAATGCTATCTAGCATTAGAATCCTAAGAAATTAATAAATAAACATCTCCCATAAAACGGTGATCACTAAGTCAAGATAAGAAAATGATTCTCAATGTTTCGTATAGTGCCACGCAATCTCAAATATTTATTCAACTAAATTAGTCAAAATTTCTAAAAGCTACGTCATTAGATAGGAAGTCATTTTGATAGAAAAATTATTAATTGGACCATCATACTTGTGGCCTAGCGGTACAAGGCTCTTATTTTTTAAAAGGAGGTTAAGAATTCGAATTTCAGTAAAGACAATATGTGTGAGTCCCAACTAAAAAAAAAAAAAAAATCATTAATTACTACTTAAGTCGGTTTGTCATTTTGCCTCTTAAAAAATCAGCCTTT